CTAGCATTATTCACAGGCCGTGTTCCCTAGAATCTACGTGAGCATGGGAATGCGAACACAATGAGCAAACAGAGTTACATGGGACCCAGTTCAGAAACCCCTGTCGGTGGGAACCCTCTCTACTTTCCTTGCTTCACCATCAAGGGGCTCCATCAGGATCTCCTCCTTGGTTTTACAAGATCGTTGGTGGCTGCTGCACGGGTGGCTGGATTGTGCTTCTTGAGGGTTGATGCCCTGCCTTTATCCTTCCACTGCAAAACAGCTTCTCGTCTCCTTGAACCCCTTTTAAGTGCTTCCCAAAACTGCCTGCACACACACCTTCTTTCCTTCCATGACAACAGGCCCTGCCGCTCTCTTCTCTCCCCTCACTGTTCCCAGAATGCCTTTGACATGGAAGGGTGGTTTATTCCCCTTGGGAACCCCTGGAGCCAGCAAAGTGCTTGGCACTAAGTACATTACTGTGCATCAGGAATGACCAGCTACCCAAGCATGGGCCAGGTTAAGAGGGTACTGGGGCACCATCCCACTCACACCAGGGAAAGTGCTAGATTTGTGCTTGTGGCCTTCTGCCTCCTGCAGGCGTGTGTGATTCCTGGGTTCTAGCCTGCCGGCAGCTTCTCTGCATGGGCTCCACCTGGCTGCTCTTGCTTTCCATGCTAGTGCTCCCACGGAATTGCATCCTGGTTCTGGGGCTCAGAGCTCTCCAAGCTCCTGGGTGACCTTACACTCCAGGCCAGAGACTTTTCATCAGATTCCTGCCTGATCTAGGAGTAGGCTGAAAGCCGATTCTGGGAATCACTCCCTCTCTGCTACTAGCTCTTTATACTCTCCTGGAAGCAGTTGTTGACAACTACCTGGACCTGAATCAAGTTAGCTGTGCCCCTTGACTTCTGTCACTTTGCTTGTGGACTCCTCCCAGCTGACGGCTTAGACTGGCCTCTGCTTCCTCCTTCTGGAGTGAGTTTCCACTGTGTCTCCCAGGTGACTTATTACAGCTTCTGTGACTGCTTTGTTTCCCTGACTTAGAGATGCCTCACATCCCCATTATGCATTTACCCCATGCAAATAAACCAGAAGTGCCTACTACCCTGCACCTAAACAGCCTGATTGTAGGAGTGTATAAGTATGACTTTGGCCATGGTTTCATATACTAATGCAATGAAAGAACAATCGACTTCACACATACAAATGATGGCTCCAATGACCCCTGTGAGATTTTGATTTCTGGAACAGGGATGTATACATTCTATATCTTAAGTGCCATGATTAAAAATTCATGGCTTCAAATCTAAATAATCACAGAACAACTTGGAGGAGTCAGTGCTCCACAGCAGAATTAATAATTATACATACAGAACTTCTTTTGGATGCCAAGTAATGAAGTGGAGACAATTTCTAAGATTCTGAAGCCCCACGAAGCCAGCTAAGCTAAATGGAATCTTTGGGCAGTCTATCCCCTCTTATGTGGATGAAGAATAATTTGAAAGAAAAACAAATGAATGGAGGGAAAAATGGTGTAATTAGATATGAAGGGGTCTGTCAGTGAACATACAAACACTCATGCACGCACACACATACGTAAGATGAAAGAACATTGTACTAGAAGTCAGACACTGAATTCGCATCCTGATTCTGCAGGCAGGAATTATCAAACTATTGAGTTGTCTGCTCTCCTGTTAGGTAGTTTCCTGGATGTTCTTCATTTCACTAATAAATATAACCTATTATATGCAAAGCATTGTCTTAACTAGGGGAGGCAGGGGTATCTGATAACCTCACTGGAAAAGAATGAGCAAATGTCGATGTGGAAAGAGTGTGTGACTCTAGCTGGGACTCATTGCTGGAACTTTTCCCTCCTGTGATCATTTCTACAGTTCCATTAGGCATGGATTTTTGGGGATAGTGACCTGAGGCCTAGGGCTAGGAGGCTAGTGAGGACACAGATGGGACTAGGGTCCAGGTCTACATGCCTTGGGAGCCCGGATTCCCACCCTTCTCCCCACTGCCTCTGCCAGCCATCTGCACACTGGCAGACCTCTACCCTGGTCTGGTCTAGATTTCTTCCATCAAAACTGAAAGGATATAGTTAGGAGGGCAATCATGGCCCTCTTGGCCTTGACCCTCTATGATCATGATTTAAAAAAAAAACCCAAGTATGTGACCATGGTCAATGAGGATGGGCTTGGAGGGTTGGGTAAGGAGGAGGAAGGAGTTTCTAGGCACCAAAGCTTTTCCAAGAAGATTCTGGATCTCTAACTCTTCCTGACTCAACACCTTCTTTCAGAGCAGCATTCTGATCATATTTGGGGTGGGTTACAAATAGGCTCTCATAGCTGACAGAAAGTGAAGAGGGATTTCAGGATGAGCTGGCCCCTGCAGCAGGGCAGGTCTGTGTAACAGACACGTGTAAGGGCTTACAGGCTCTACTGCTCTGCAGCCTAGTGCAGCCCTGTGAAAGTATGCAGGAGCGAAGCGTGTGAAATAGAGTCCTCATTTCAGACCTTACTGGGAAGCGTCTAAGCTGGTGATTACTCACATGGTCCATAATGCATGAGGAGTCAAGGGTGCAGATGCATGAGCTGATACAAGTGTACACGACTGTTTCTAGTTTTGATACGCACTTACTCAGAACTAATTTTTTGCTTTGAAAATGACATTGGTGTCATAAGTGCCTTTAATAAAAGCAGTGTTCTCATCTTTGCTGATTCTTTTAAAAGGAAGAGTGGAGCCAGGGTATTGAGAAGTACAAACCTATGAAAGTACAAAAGTAAGACAACTGTTTTACACCTTATTAGAACTTGCATGCACAAATCGTATTATATTGGTGTGCTCATATATGGATGTGTGTATGTGTACATGAATATACCATCTATAAATACACTGTGTCTGGGTGGCAGAAGTCAGGCCTAAGGCATCGAAAGGTTTAGATGTTAGTCCTTAGCTCTGGGACCTTGCACAAAGCACTTGGCTTCTGAGCCTCAGTCTCCCCATCTGAGAAAGGGGATCATGAGTACAACATGGGAAAACCAAGGGGCCCTCTCTTTGGTAAGTATAACTCATGCCAAGTGGTGATATGGCTAGATAGTGACTTTCCCCGAGGTCACTATTTCCAGATTTCTTAAGGCTGAACCAGACACTAGGACTTGGAATCAGGCAAGATACAGACAGAGCACAGTCTACACTCTACTCTCCTGGCTGTACTACACCCAGATCCCACCCTTACATCCCAGTTTATAAACAAGTATGCTGATACTTGTTGTGTAAAATTTTACCTCCAATACCTTTTGAACACAAATATGGGCATATAATATTAAAGATGTATATCTTTTATAGAATAATTCACTCCATAGTTCTTTTACAAATGAGTCACAATTATTTATCAACTATATTAATATTTTTACTTAAATAATCTTTAAGCATTTATATATAATAACATAGAACAATTATATTTATGTATTAGTGTGATAACTATTTGGGGACCTCTAACAACCTGAGAATCAACTGATCAAAGTTTAAAGAGCCGTGGCCAAGCAGAGACCGTTAGAAGTACACTGGAGCCGTGTGAACTGTCAGCGTGCGTGCCACCAATCCTCAGCGTTCTGGGAATATGTCCACAGGGCAGAATTGAGATCCTTCAGGGAGCTGTACCAAAGGACTAAGCTGGGATAGGTTTGCGAGGGATGAGAGACTATTACAAACAAACGAAGCAAGACAGAAATGAAGGAACAGGTATGCGCTTGCATTCACACTGTAGAGAAGTGGGCAGCTGAGCCACCACACTTCACATTTAGGTCAGACTAGGATTTGGGAAGTCCCGGCAAGGACTGTGGGGAAGCCGTCAGAGCTGAGGCTGAGGGTGGAGGGGACCACAGGGCCTAGCCCCCCAGGACAGAGAGGGCACCGACTCCCTCTGCGGTACCCACCTCGCCCTCTCGGGGCTTGCCGGCGATCTTTCTATGGCATTCCTCGCAGTGTTGGAAACGTTTCCTCATCATCCAGCATGGGTTTAAAAATGACGTTGGCCGGGAATCAAGTGAAGACAAAGTTACCAGGGGGAAGGAAGACAGCTCTCAATTAGAAAAACACCTGCGTTCTGAGAACTGGGAGATTTTGACAAGAGAGTCGAGGATCTCTCCAGAAGAAAACCCTCAAGAGTGTCAAGGTTAGCCTTAAGTTAGGAGGGTTTTTGCCCATAAAGGTGGAAGGGTTTTTTTTTTTCCTTCTGAGGAGTCTGACTCAGGGCCAGGAAAACTTGTCTGTAAAGGGTGAGGCAGGCAGCATCTCAGCTCCGCAGCCACTCCTTTCCCACTGCATCTATTCACCTCCACCCTTGTGTCATGAACACAGACACAGTAAGTCAACAACCAGCATGACTGTGTGTCTCCATAAACCTTAACTTACGGGCACCAAAATATGAATTCATATAATTTTCATGCGTCATGAAATAAGATTCTTCTTTGGTTTTTCTGTCAATAATCAAAAAATGTGAAAACAATTCTTAGCTCGAGGCTGGGTAAAAATAGGCAGTGGTTAAGATCTGGCCTATGGGCCATAGCTTTTTTTTCCCCAGTATTTTTTTATTGAGGTGGAATTCACAGAATACAAGACTCACCATTTTAAAGTGAATAATTACGGGGTATTATGTACATTGACAATGTTGGGCAACCACCACCTCTACTTGGTTCTGAAGCATTTTCATCAACCTAAAGGAAAATCCTGTACCCATTAAGTAATCACTCCTATTCTTACCGTTCCCTAACTCCTGGAAGCCACCCACCTGCTCTCTGTCTCTATGGATTTACCTATTCTTCACATTTTCTNTAAAGTGACAAAGCTTCTCTTCTTGGTCACTATGCCAAGTGGGATGCCAAGCTGGTGAGCCACGCATTTGGGGGCTGCCTCCCTGGTGTCCAGGTATCAGGTGGGTGGGGAAGGAGTTTGGCTGGAGTGGTCTCATGGGGCAGGCAATGCTCTGCGCACACGCCTGATACAGCCCTTACCAGCTTGCCCACGCACCGCTGGGGCGCCAGGCCGTCCGCACACTTGTGATGGATGCTCATCTTACAGGCCTTGCAGCGCAGTCCATGCTTAGCATTTGCTCCTGTCAGACATGTGGGAAGCTTCCATTAGGACCCAGCCCCCCTTTTCCTGGTGACCAGAATGAAGTCACTGGAAAAGTGATGCCCATCACCCAGGTAATTCCTTCCTGTGACTTTGCATAATGCTTTCAAAAAGGAGAAAATACCATGGCTCATTCTTCTACCTTGTCCCACATCTTCCAGCTCAGGGATTTGCTCTGGCTTCCCCTACTTCTTTCCTATACATGACTCCCAGAAATCCTAGCCTCCTCTACTTACATTGTTCCCCCAATTCAAGCTAGCAGATGCCACTTCCATTGCTCTTCCAGTAGGTCACCCAATTCTGCTCTTCCGTATGTCTTGCTAAGTAGGGCAAGTCCTGAAATTGTGCCCCATTTTTACCTGAATTCCTATCACAGGTTCTTAGCTGTTAGAAATCTCTCAGGAAAAGAATGGATGAAGGGGGAACAGTATGGTCTGCGTGAAGGTGGGGCTTATGGTGTTCTAAAGTGGGGGAACAGGGCTCTGTCAGACCCAAACCCCTGCCTGGGAAAGTGGTGGGTGGGTGGGTGCAATGAAGCCACTGCTGCAGCGATTCACTTAGCACCTGGGACAGCAGGCCACATGGGGGTGAGAAGAAAGGCAGAGGAGGAGAGCAGAGGCAGGGAAGCATCCTGGTAGCTGCCCTGGAGAGGCCCTGAGGGCTGTAGGAGGATGGAAGGCGGGGGGGACACCCGCAGTCAGTGGTTTACCGGGCAGGTGGGTGGAGGCTGGGAGAGGATATTTAAGTGGGATGTTTTCTGTTTCCATTTTGTCCAGGACAAGATGTACCATCTGCTCTGACATTCCAGAAAAGGTGGCAGCCTCCCAAGAAATCCCAAAAATTAGTGCCCAAATTCACTTTACAGTTCGTAGATGACAAAGCATATCAAGCATATCAGAAAAGAGGGAGAAAGGTAGAGAGCAGAGAGAGGATTTCTCAGTCGAGCTGTGAGGCATGATTAGTTCCATGGCACATCTCTAACATGATCAGAAGATGGGCACTTTCTCCTTTATGCAGTTCGACTGAAGAGGCTTCAAGGAGATTACTTTAGAAGCTTGGTCTATGTCCCTGGAGTCCATGGAACATGTAGTAGCTGCGGCCATACTGTGTCTCAGAAAGAACGAAGGTGGCCAGCAGTCCTGTCAGCCCACTCAGGAGAGACGGCCATGCTGGCAGCACCTGGAGGCTGAAAGCTTGTCAGGAAGAAGGGGGTGTGAGCACTTCCTGTGGATTCCACATGGATCACGTGGAGTGCTGCCCTAAAAGACCACCGGAGAGACCACTGGGCTGACAGGACTGCTGGCCTCGTTCATACTTTCCGAGGCACAGTATGGCCACAGCTACATGTTCCATGGACTCCAGGGGACATAGACCAAGCTTCTAAAGTAATCTCCTTGAAGCCTCTTCAGTAGGTATCTCAGTGGAGGTATAGGAATTAATATGTCCATTTTCCATGAGACATGAGGTGTATCTCACTGTACATCACAGCTGACTGCAGAAGCAAAATGAGGATATCCCAAGATTTTTTGTGAAATCTTCCCTTTTCTCCATCACTGCCTCCTCATCCACATCCCTTGTCTGGACTAATTCTAACTGAACTTCCTTCCTGCACCTGTTTTTGCTTTCCACCAATGTGTGTACAGTGATCAGAGAACTCTTTTGAAAAATGTATGGAGTCACCTCCCCCCCTTGCTTAAACATCTTTCAGTAGGTTCTCCCTGACTTTCTGATGTACATAATGCTCGCCATGGTGGTGAGGCTTTGTATGATTTGGTGGGAGCATATTTCTACCTCAGCTCAGGCCAACCCCATTGGTTCATTATGCTCTAGCCACAGGGCCTTCTACCAGTCCCTTGAATGCACAAGCTCTTTAATTCCTCAGGGTCTTTTATGCTGCCCTATATTCCTGGAATGCTGTTCCTTTCACTCTTCACTTAGCTAGCAACTCCTCACCCTTTGGACCTCTTGTCATTCCTACAATGAAGTTTCCTTAGAAACATTCACCTTCCCCTGTCTAAATGATCTTTTTCCTATTATTATTTCTCATAGCACCCTGTTGTTATCTTTCATAGCATTTTCCACAATTATTATTTATTTTAGAGCTTGGTTTTGTCTGCTTTCCCTCTAGATTGTGAACTCAGTGAGGCTAAGGACTGTGTTTGTTCACTTGCCACTGTATACCCAGCTTGCTGGACGATGCCTAATAAATTTGTGTTAAATAAACTAATGAGCAAATTCCCTCATAGGGACATGTATCAAAATAGTGGTGACTGATTTAGACAATTAACTGAAGTTGGTTCATCAATGATGTAGAAATGGTATTCAAGAGCTGAAAAGGACTTGAAGATCATCTATATGTATGGTTTTACTTTGCAGGTGAGAAGACTGAGGGGCCAAGCCTGAGGTCCTGCCACACTGCTTGACCCAAACATTTCCTCTATTTGTGTTGTTTCACCTACATGAAAATGCAGTTGGGATATCAGGTGATAGAATAAGGGAGCACAAGAACCCTATATTCAGCTGGGAAAAGCAACAGGCAAGCTTTTGACTGAACAAAGAATTAGAAACCCTTCAGGAGGTATTATCCAAAAACTCCCTTCAGGAAGGCATCATTTAACACAAAGCATGTCTGCTATTATAACCACAAAAAGTCAAAGTGACATAGAAACACACTGAAAATTATTGGGTATGTGTACTTGTTTATAAATACTAGTTGGAAAGTCTGTTTTACTTTTGGAGAATAACCACTTAGCTGAAAGACTACAGTGCTTTCAAAAGACTGGACTTCAAAAGGAATCACTTATTTTTTTGTTTTCAAATTAGAGAATGCTGTTTGTGCCCTATGCAACAATGTAAGTAAAAGCTTCAAAGAGGAAAGTTATTTCATTGTGTGCTAGACTCTGAAATAGCACCATTATAGACTAAGGTATATTTTCCTTCAGACCTGAACATGATAATTTCAGTTTTCCTTGTTTGTTTTAATACACTCCACTGTTTGTATGAGTCAGACCACCAGCAATTATTTGGTTTTAGGTGTTCCAATTTTTACTGTGGAATAACAAGAGTGATTGAAGAAGAAAGCCTGTATTCTCTGGCTTAGAGAATAGTTCAAGGGAATAATTCACATCACAGCAGTGGCATTAGTTTAATGTAGCAGATATAGGGAAGCTGTGGTCTTATTTGTTCTTTTACTAGTGTCCTACATCATGAAGGCATCAACAAATGTGAACTTTATGCCTCAGTGGAGTGGGAAAATCATGATTTTAAATTTGAGTATATCTTATGCTGGCTCTTTAAACTTAAGAAAACTACTAATATCCCTAGAGTTTCAGCCACCTCATCATCAAATGAGGAAAGTACTACTTTCAAAGTTGCCAATAATAATAGTGTCAAAATATATACAAAGGGAATTACATGGGTTTAAATGCTTGGCAACAAAGATGTCACTGGACTTTGAGTAAACATGGTGGACTGGCCGCATGAGTTTCCCACTTACTCATACCAAAACCCTACTAAAATTACAGTCCAAGAATAAAAAAGTGGTACAAACTCCAAATCACAAGGTTACTGGGAGAAACAAGTGCAAAAGAGAGTCCAACGTATATTTGGAAGGCAGAAAGCATCTGGAAGTATGGTGAGGAATTTAGCAGAAGAGAGGAAGATTGGATTTCCCAGTAGCAACTTGGAAACTAGAAGGTGATAGAACTTCAAAAATTGTGGAATCCTGAGAGCAAATAATTCTCAACCTACAATTTTATACCCAGCCAAATTACAAGTATGAAAGCAGGATAAATGCCTATTCAGATCTTCAGGGATTCAAAATATTTACTCTCTACCTATTCTTCCTTAGAAAACTAATGAAAATGTGGGATGAAGGAATGAATCAAGGAAGAGGTGCACAGCAAATCCAGTGCACAACACAAGCAGTGACACAGAGAACAGATAAATGATAGACCATATGACAACTCTACAATAGCCTGAGACAGGCACTACAAGTAAGGCAGCAGACTTGGGAAAAAAATGGAACTTAAAAGTTTATTGATGTTTTTCAGGTTTGGATTTTATAATAGATTTGGATAGATACTTGGGAGCCTTTGAAAAAAAGTATCATAGGTACCCTAAACATCAAGGCAATTAAAAAGTAAATTTTTCCCCTTTTTCCAGGTGTACAACAAAGTGATTTGATGATTATATACATTACAAAAAGATGACCATAAGTAGTGTTACCAGCTGCCACCAAACAAAGATATTACAAATTTATTGACTCTATTTCCTGTGATGTACTTTCATCCCTGTGATTTATTTATTTTATAATTGGATATTTGTACCTCTTCATCCCCATTACCTATTTTGCCCATTCCCTCACTCCCTCCCTGTGGCAACCACCAGTTTATGCTTTGCATTTGAGTCTAATTTGAGGAAATATAAAACTGTGTAAGGAAATAAATAACCTCAGTGTAATACTTGAATCAGAGGTTAGCAATAGTCACATTAGAGTATAAACTGACTCGTTAACACAAAAATGTGACAGAACTTGGAAGGTGAGGGCAAGGAAGACGGGAGCAAGTGAGCGTGCTGGAGGGGAGAGAGCTGGATCATCTTCTGTAGCAGGAAGCCAATCAATGTTTGGTTAGTCAATAAACAGTAGCAGAAGCACAGCTTTTTGAAATATTGAAATAAAATCCAGAAAAAAACAAAGAGGGTGAAAGTGGCTTGTCTTTCAGAAGAGAGTCTGGGTTACAGGATGAGAATTTCCACTGTGTTCTCGGTACCGTCAGTACCATCCTCAGACTATTCTCATGTACTACTGTGGCAAAAAGCAAATAAAAAACGAAGTTGCTGGAAACTGGGTCAAGCCAGCCCCTTGGCATGATGTGGTCCTTGGTATATGGAGATGTAGGGAAAACATGGGACTATCTCATCATAGAAGCCATCCATTCTTCCCTGGGATTTGAACTTCTGGGATACAATTAAGATGGT